AACTATCAAAAAGTATTGAAACTATCAACCGAAAAACACGGTAAAAACTATCCAAACTTCCTGAAAATACTCGAAAGTATTTAAATTACTCGAAGTTAGTTAAAAAATGGTAAACGAGTTTAGTTAACTTCGAAATTCAGGTAGGATTATGGTTTATATAAATTATATTATCTGATACCTGATACCTGAATTACCTAGTCTTTAAGTCCAATTTGGGTATTTCCTTAAAACCAAACCCGATCTAAAGATAAGATTTTTTGGATCGACTTCGATTTTTTCTAACGCCTAGTTCACATCCTAAGGAATGTTTTAATCAATTCCTTTATTTTATATATGCATCTGCAAAAATTAATAAGAAAATGAACGTATCTCTTAGAAGACAAATAATTTTTTTTAACATTTATAAACATTTGGAAAATGGTTAATATATTAGTGGTAAGTGTAAATACTTTGCACTACAAAAATTTGTTTTTATGAAATAATTGATCTAACACACTAAATACAATAATTGTTTTGTTGAATTTACTCGTCTTCTTACACTAACAAACCGTTACAATAATTTTTTTAATTTAATGTTTCACTTCTTCGTCGAAATACTACTCCTTACCAAAGGGTGTGGTAGCATAATAATAACACAAAAGATTGATTTTTTTGTGCACGGTTGCAGACTTCTATTGATACAAAGGGTTATTTTTAAATAAAAATATTCAAAATCTGATTCCGGATAATTCGGAACTCTCACAATTTAGCCCCAAAATAAAAAATTCTACTCCTTCGCTGCACAAAGCATTTTTTTGTCTCGTCTCAAAGTCTCAAACAATAAACTTTTATGGCGAATAAATGACAAAAAAAAGGTAGATCGAAAAATCGTGATAGGCGGCAGGTAAACGAAAACCCTCTAAACTATTCAGAAGGCTAAGGTCAAAAACGATGACGCACAACCCCCTTTTAAGATACGCCACGTGGACTTTTACTCACAATGTGATTGGCTGATCATACGTTGAAACAAGTCACCAAAAAACCAATCCTTTTAAATTCTTCCCCACTCGCATCGCTTAAAACACGCGCGCGCGTGGACTCTCTTTTTC